TAATCCCTGTCATCTGTTTAACTCACCTCCCTCCCCTCCTCCCCTCTGGTAACCATCAGTTTGATCTTTATGAAACTTTTTGTTTTCTAGAAGAAAAGTGTTATTCTCTCAGAAAAGTGATAGGAAGAATTCAGAACCTTTTAGGAGAGAGACACACAAATTATTTGATTTCTATTTGATTTTCTCTTTTGTTAAGAATTAATTTTGTCTGGTTAACCTTGTTGGACCAACAAGGTCCAAATTAATTGGATCTAATTTATATTGAAAAATAAGAGTGATGGAATCTCATTAAAAAGCCACATGTGCTACTTTGACAATATATCCCTTTAAGAAGTAAGATTGCTTTTAGAATACAGCTTTGCATTAGTAGTATTTCGTTGCAACTAGAGGAGTCAGTGCTCCCCAAATTGATACATGAATTTGATGCAGCTCTAGTCATAATCTCACCAGGCTTTTCTGCAGACATTTACAAGCTGATTTTTAAATTTGTGTGGAAGTTAAGAGGACCCAAAGGAATATCCAAAGGAATCTTGAAAGTAAGAACTAGCAAATTTCAGTGCTGAAAGGAAATATTTATGTGTTCTTTTGGTGTGGAGATTTCTTGAATTCTCTTAGAAATTAAGCAGGATTAGCTTTTACATATTGGACTTATATGAAACCGAAACATATATACATTTTACAGTGACCTATCTAAACCATCCAAGTTCATCTTTCACGTGTTGGTCAACTGATGATGAATTTTAATTATCTTCTAGTGTATGAATGGGCCTGGCCACAGGATGATGGTTGTATTTGTCTCCCTGCCCCCTTCTCGCCCCCAACAAACCCTCCTCCCCCCGCACTTTGTAGGGGCCTTAAGATTTTTCCTTTATGCAATTGTTTGTCAGTCTTCTTACCACATCATGTATGCCATGGATGTTATCCTTACAAACTTTGGGGGTGTAGTGTATCTGAGTGTGCAGTGAGGAAAATTGTACATTTATGTGTAACAAAACTTGAAAAATGTGGCCTTAAACAAGTGGAAGTTAATTTATCCTATGTAACAAAAAGTCCAGTCTAGAGTTCGAGAAATTCTGTAAAGCCTGAGCTCTCCAATTTTTTGAATTAATGCAACATCAGTGAGGATGTCTCCACGTCTGGGGTGAGATCACAGAGCCAGTGTTGAGATGTCCCTGACAGTCTTCTCTGCCTCCAGCTTTTGAACATTCCCCCAAACCCACTTCTCCACAGTCTGCCCCCAACTCCGATTTAATACCCTTGTGTCTAGGAGGTTTTAACATTAAGAGTGTTCTGAAAGTCAGGAGCACAAATCCACTTCTCCACATGAGTCCTAAATAAGACTTTGTCTCTTCTCCTCGTCCTCTCACCCTCACCCCTCTCCCCGCACCCACTGCCCCAGACATGTTCTGATATTGTATTGTTCTTTTCTTGATTTTATTTTAGGGAGAGAGAGAGCGAGCGAGCGAGGGAGCGCGAGCAAGAGAGTGGGGGAGAGGGGCAGAGAAAGAGAATCTCAAGCAGGCTCCATGCTCAGTGCAGAGCCCTACGCAAGGCACAATGTTATGACCCTGGGATTATGACCTGAACCAAAATCAAGAGTCAGACACTCAACCAACTGAGCCACCCACGTGCCCCTGTATTCTGTTTTTTTCAATACCATCTTCCAATTGGTCACCAGGTCCTTTTGATTAATTATTATTTATTTAGAAGTTGTCTCTGTTTATTCAGAACCGCCCTAGTCCCAGCAGCAAGGACGTATCAATAGCAGCTACTGATTGTGATATCCATTGCGGGTTCATGTTTCATTTCAGGTCTTCTTTATGATTATTTACCTTTTAAATATTTCACTTAACAGATACTTTCTATTTAGATCTTTTAGGGTACCAGCCAAGAAATAGCATTGGGCATAATTTAAAGACCTTTGACAGGGCATATATACCTATGGGTCAGGACAGGTTAGTGTAATTTTTTTGAAAATACAGCAGTGAATTTTGGAATCCGGTTCCTGCTGCACCCTACCTCCTTCCGCCATCCCCAACATAAGACATAAGATGGTAACTCTACCTTGGTCAGACAGAACTTCTTACATTATTCCTCAAATGAGCAGTTAACTAGCTGATGTAATATCCCCTGGAAAAGATGTAGTTAAGTTTTTCTTTTTTCTTTTTTAAGTTTATTTATTTTGAGAGAGAGAGAGAAAGCATGAGTGGGGGAGGGGCAGGTCTGTACTGACAGTGTGGAGCCTGACACGGGGCTTGAACCCATGAACCGTGAGGGTATGACCTGAGCTGAAGTCAACCCTTAACTGACCGAGCCACCCAGATGCCCATAGTGAAGTTCTTTACCATTATTTCCTGAGAGGGAGAGAGCATTGCTTTTTGATTGATTAATTTTAGTATTATAAAATTCTTTTAAAAGAACATATCCCGGTTATGGGTTGAGTTGTGTTCCCCTAAAATTCAGATGTTGAAATTCTAACTTCCAAAACCTCAGAATTTGACTTCATTTGGACATAGGGTTTTTATGGAGGTAATGAACTTAAAAGGAGGTCATTGGGGTAGGCCCTAAACGAATATGACTGCTGTCCTAATTAGAAAGATATTTGGACATACAGGGAGAATGCCGGAAGAGCGTGACGATGGCCTTCTGCAAGCCAAGGAGAGGGACCTCGAACAGATCCTTCTCTTGACAGTCAACCCTACCTATACCTGATTTCAGACTTTTAGCTTCAAGAACGATGAGACAATAAATTCTGTTGTTTAAGCTACTCAGTTTGTGGTCATGGCAACTGTAGGAAACTGATCCAGTTCTTTATGAAAATCCTTCATTGCCCTTAATGAGAATTCCTCTCAGATTCTGGTCGACTGTCAATTCTTGATTTCTGTGAGAATGTGGGGGATTTTTGTAATTATTTTAATAATTTCTGGAGAAGCTGAGTTAGAGATTGATGTGTTTTCTAAAATATATACCTTCATCATGTTATGGATGATCATTTTCACTTGTTTTAAGGGCTTTGAAATTGCATTGTTCTTCTAGGTTTCCTTGAGTGCCTTGTCACCTGAATACCAGAATGTTCTTTCCTGTTCTGTTGCATCAGAGCAGGCACACCTCCCCATAGCATACATGTTCCTTAGTCCTTAGTCTCTGTGTTTGCATTTTCTTTAAGCAAAGCAGTATGCATTGGATATAAGTCCTCAAATATCTAGAGAAATGATGTTCTCTTCAGATTTCACATATTGCATTCGATGCTGTGAGCTTATTTAACTGAGAGAAATCTTTGGGTGATATAATTTAATACTGAATGTTGTCACCATGGAGAAATGAATTCCTTCCAGATTCCCTTTTTGAAAAAGTCATTGTTGGGTATGTTTTTCAGCCAGGAACATGCTGTACCAAATTTATTAAAATTGGTTCAGTGCTTTGTTTCATTTTATAATATCAAATAGAAATACGGAAATTAAAAAAAGAAATATGGAAATAATTATGTCATGGTAGCCTATGAAATGGTGAAAATGATATGTATAAGGTTTTATTAATAGGAAGTGAACTTGGAATTTTTTTCTTAAATGCGTACCTTTTACTTGTAACAAAAGATGAAGTTTTTGGGGGTGCACAAACTGATAAGAGTCATGTATTTTTTTTTTTAATTTTTAATGTTTATTTTTGAGAGAAGTAGACAGAGTGTGAGTGGGGGAGGGCCAGAGAGCAAGGGAGACACAGAATCCGAAGCAGGCTCCAGGCTCTGAGCTGTCAGCATAGACAGCACAATCTTAGCATTCTAAAGAGTCTATAGTTACACACATACCAGTTGTCACTTAAAAATTGGGGGCAGAAAAAATCACTACAGTGACTATTTCTGATTGATCGTTTGTCAGTTCTGTAGGTGACCCGCTAGTGTCTCATAAGATCTGGTGGAGTCTTCTGTCTTCTGTGGAGCCCTCTTTGATTAGTCCATTCTTCATTTCTTTTTAACTTCTCTGAGCTAGTATTTAAGTTTTTAGCCACACAAGTTTATAACACTTAAATCTAGTTGTTTCACCAACTAGATCTTGATTTTGTCATGTGAAGGAATAATTCCCTGTATGTGTGCTGTCCTGCCAAAGGTATACTCCCACGTACACTACTTAATTGAGTATTCATCTCAAATTTGAACCCCTTTACCAGAACTAAATTTTTATTATGCAGAAATGAGTTTAAAGGGAAATCCTTTTTCCCTCAGTGTCGGAAGTTACAATAAAAGACATTCATGATCTTGAGACATAATAAATACAGTTGAATGAGTTTTCCTTTGAACATACTCTTTGTGTGTGTGTGTGTGTGTGTGTATAAGTTTTATTTTGGGGGGTGGGGGAGAGACAGAGGGAGACACAGAATCCGAAGCAGCCACCAGGCTCCAAGCTGTCTGCACAGAGCCGGATGCGGGGCTTGAACTCACGAACCACGAGACCATGACTTGGGTTGAAGTCGGACTCTTAACCGACTGAGCCACCTGGGCACCCCTGAACATACCTTTTTTAATGTTTAGCACACAGTGAAACAACCTTTTTCTTGAACATCGCTATTTATTACTGGTTTGGAGACCTGACAAGATTTACAGACCTCACTTGTCATTGGTAGCATAGCAGAATGAATAAGATGACAGCATCTGAAGTCAGGCTTCATGGGTTTTGACTTGGGCTCCATTATTTCGCTTTTCATCTTGTGACTCTTTGTGACTCACTGTCTGTATCTGTGAAAGAGAAGTGATAATAGTACTTGCTGCATGATTTATTGTGAGAATTGAGATTTTAATTATATTTTATATATATAATGGAATTTTATGTATTGTCCTTTATGTGTGTCGTGTATATGATGTCGTATATATGATGTGTCGTATATATATGAGAATCTTGGCACTCAGGAAGTTCAAGTTGGCTTCATAATACAAATGTATATGTTCTACAAGGAAATAATATAATATTTGACATTATTCTTATGACGTTTCTAGGTTTGAAAACACAATGGCAGGAAACAGCCTTGTCCTACCCATTGTTCTTTGGGGTCGCAAAGCACCAACACATTGCATCTCAGCAGTACTTTTAACAGACGACGGGACCACGATTGTAACTGGATGCCATGATGGACAAATATGTCTCTGGGATCTCTCAGTAGAATTGGAAGTGAGTATTTGAAATGGATATTGTATTTTTTAGAATCAAGGAGCTTCTTAATCAAAAATAACAGTCCCAGAATAATATTTGGCCTCATAACAGGTTTTCTGTGAAATGTGTTGTGACTAAAATTATTATTATGTAGATTGTTAATTTGTATTATTCGTCAGAGTTGGTTTCTGCTGCCTTTTGGCTGTTTCCAGTTGTGTCTACCCTAGGTGGGTTCATATGTTACATTTAAGATTTATCAAAAGATTTTTATTCATACTGAAGGAAGTTTCCAGAAAGGTATTAAAAACCGATTTTGAACATTTTTACCTTCTAAGGTGAATGTCTCGAAGACAGCAAAACTTTTTATAAAGCATAAATTTGATTGTATTTATTACGTATTATCATTCTTTCTTACTATGGAGCGCTCAGTGTGCTGTGGTTCGAGGCCTTCTCGGTGGACAGGCCAGGGAAGTAGGAGTTGGGGATATGCATGCAGAGTTCACACTGATACCTCCAATTCTGGGATAACACCTCAGGGTTTATTTTCCTTTTTTCCTCATATTTTTCATCTCCCTCTCTGATAATTTTCCCCAGGGATTTTTTCTGTCAAGGGTAACAGAGAAAATGGGGTGGTAGGTGGCATGGCATATAGGGCAAACAAGTTGAGGTTTTTTGTTTTTTTTTTGTAATAGCCTTATTGAGATAAAAATACAGTTCACTCTCTTAAAGAAGTT